AATGCCTAGTTAGCCTTGCGGCTAACAGACATGCTGGGCGCTGGGTGGGCGGCTGGCGAGGGAGCTCTTCCTCTGGGCGGTCTGCTCAGCTCCCTCGCGCGCCGCAGAGTGAGGCTGGGAGCCGGAATATGACGTCATCAACCCGACTCCCAGACTGCGGCACGCGAGGGATCTGAGCAGACCGCTCAGAGGAAGTGCTCCCTTGCCAGCCACCCGCCCAGTAGCCAGCCCATCAGCCCGACCGGCAGCCACTGGCCCCCAGGGAGAGAGGGAACCCCCCCCAGCATTCCCAAAGGTAAGGAGGCTGGGGGGGTTAAATAAAAAAATAAAAAATGTTAATGTGAGTGAGTGTGTGTGTATATGTCTGTTACTGTGTGTGTGTGTGTGTGTGTCTGTTACTCTTGTGTGTGTGTCTGTTACAGTGTGTGTGTGTCTGTTACAGTGTGTGTGTCTGTTAGTGAGTGAATGTTTCTGTTAGCTAGTGTGTGTGTGTGTGTATTTAGAAGGCGGGGTGGGGAGAAGGGTTGGGTGGGGATGGCACGGGGGGAGGGGGCGCCTGAGTTTTGTCCTGCCTAGGGCAGCACAAAACCAGGATACACCACTGTATACATGTGAAGGGTTATTCAGGGATTCCTGACAGATATCAGTGTTACAATAGATTTTGCATTAATTTTGAATAAAAAAAATGGTTTGGAAATCCCAAAGTGCTACTTGAACTTACTGCCCTATAACTTTCCAAAAAAGCTAAGAACATGCTAACATTGGGTATTTCTAAACTCAGGACAAAATTTAGAAACTATTTAGCATGGGTGTATTTTGGCGGTTGTAGATGTGTAACAGAATTTGGGGGTCAAAGTTCGAAAAAGTGTTTATGTAAATATTTCCATCATATTTTATAATTGTTTTTATAGTAAATTATATGATATGATGAAAATAATGGTATTTTTAGAAAGACCGTTTAATGGTGAGAAACACGGTATATAATATGTGCAGGTACAGTAAATGAGTAAGGGGAAAATGACAGCTAAACACAAACACCGCAGAAATGTAAAATCAGCCCTGGTCACTAACGGTAAGAAAATTGAAAAGCAGCCTGGACACTAAGGGGTTAACCTACACCGAGAAAGTGGGACTCAAAAAGTTTGTGCAAAATGTTTGAGACATCGTCACACAGCATGTCTTCCCAAATACTCACTCCACCTCTCTTTTTTCCATGGAGAAAGCTTTCACAGTTCTTACGTTCCCCAGGGCTTCATCTGCCATACCTGTGGCTTTTGCAACCTATGTTCATGGAAGACATTAACCAGAGATCAATATGACAAGAAAAGGAGACGAGAGTCATGGTGAAAGGAGATACGAATTGTAGGAATTGTTAGTTTATATAACCGGGCAGAATAAGATTTACGTAAATCACAATCACTAGAATTACCCATCATATATGTGAAAATTCACTTGATTTATTCATGAGGTCCAGCAACTTCTTATAAACTAGGCCTGGGTCTAGAGCAGCAATGTGGAGAGAGCAGCAGGTGCTTTTTTAACTAATTAATATTTTTTATTGCCATGTGGCTGTATCCCAGATTCGCCCAATGCGGTGAACAGAGACAGAGAGCTGGCGGCAGGCGGAGAGCAGAGACAGAGAGCTAACGGCAGACAGATAATAGTGTAGGAAATAAAGGATTAATGGCTCTTACTCATTTGAATGGTTCTCACCTGCTCCTGGGCACGGCGTGACAGTGTACGTAGAAAGGAACCTATTATAGCTCCAACTCCCACCAGGATTGGCATCACCACAATCAGCGTTCCTGTCAGTTTTGGAGAGATATAGTACAGGGACACAAAGCAGCCAACAGTCTGTGTGAAGTTTCTGAGACCCTATACCATGGAGGTAAAATGGAATATTAAAGCACAGGGCAGCTGGAATGAGTATTATAGCACATAACACATGTAGATGCACAACATAGAACAGGTCTGTAAACACTGGAAAATAATCGACATGGGATTGTATACAAAACCAGGAAGAAAAGTGACAGCAATGAATTATCCAACCTCTACCTTCCCTGTTACGTGCAGACGGTCCTTCCCTCACAACATCAAACTAGGGATGGTGTTTCTGGGTGAGAAATGTGACGGTGGAGTAAAGGTGGGTACTCTGCATTCACTCACCTGGGAAATGACCTGTTTAAAAGAGGACTTGAATTCCTGAACGTCTGACGTTAGCCGGTTTACTAAGAGTCCTGTCTTCTGATCATCAAAGAAAGCCACATCCTGCCTATTGATAAAATCAATACAAATATCATACAGAATGGAGATAGAGGGAGGGGAACAGTCCATCCATGTCTCCAGACACAATTACAATCCTTCATTCCATCACTGCTTACATTGCCTCCTGCTTCCCTCTCACATTTGTCAATATTTACATTGCTTTCATTTAAAGTTAAATTTAAAAAATCTAGTGAAACAGAACAATATGTAAGAGGACACTGACAACAGACATCTCAGATAGCTAGTCTTTCATTAGTTAGTCCCCATTCAGCCTCATGCTAGTTCTCTCGTGCCATTATAGAACTTGCATTGCAGACTGATCCCATCGATATAGTCTGTTCAGGTCTGAAATGCCGGCATGTTCCCTCTGCAGGAGAGATACAGCTCTCCCAAGCCATAATTTCACCATTCATTGGGCCACTGAGAAGCACAGGGACCACGACTGAACCGAAGAGCTCCCAAGCTTCTAATAACCTAAAACAAAACAGGAAGCAAGAAAGTGGACGACAACTCGGACTCAGCTCTGATAAATTGGGTGGGATTAGCTATATAGGTGGTCTCCGTGACGGCTGAGATAAAAACCCGTATGACGTGAAGGA